TTATTTTTTTAAATTAAATTAAATTAAATTAATCATTAATAAATAGGATCATGCATTGAATTAAGCCGTAAACAATTATAGAAGACTTTGCCTACGTTTGACTATACATACATTCCTCGGCCTTTTTCGCTAAGATGATTTGTTCTTATCAGTTCAACTATAAAAGCCTCTACTCTCTCACGCCTATACTTGTCTCATATATAATCCCAGTTTCTCCATTAATGGCAGAACCAACGAAGAGGTTTTTTATTTACTTTATTTATTTTTTTTCTTCAATCAAGCTTTCTCCTTATTTTTGGTGTTTCATTTTTCTAATTCTTCTGTTCTTTCCCTTCATTTTCAGGTGCGCAGTTGTTACTGGGGCAAACAAAGGTATTGGTTTGGAAATATGCAAGCAGTTGGCTTCACATGGGTTGACTGTAGTTTTGACAGCTAGAGATGAGAAGAGAGGTATGGAAGCTGTTGAAAAGCTCAAAGAATCTGGTCTCTCTGAATACATAGTTTTTCATCAGCTTGATGTTGCAGACCCTGCAACTATTGCTTCTCTAGCAGATTTTGTCAAGAGGCAATTTGGAAAGCTTGATATCTTGGTATCACTTAAATTCTCTCTAATATTTTTCATTCATATGAAATGATGAAATGACTGCTGAATGATTTTCATATCCCCCAATCATCATGTGCAGGTGAACAATGCAGGAATTGGTGGTGTGATAACAGATCATGATGCTTTAACAGCTGTTGTCATCAGTAAGGTAAATCTTCTACATATAATCCTTTGATTTCTTTGCCACATAGAAAGCAAAAACACTATTCCAACACAATTTTCTGTGAGAGTAATTAGAAAGTTTAATTTTCTTCTTATATCAATTCAGTATCAGGCGGATGAATATATCAACTGGAGTGAAATAGTAACTCAAACATATGAGTTGGCCCAAGAATGCCTCAAAACAAACTACACTGGTGCCAAAAGGATGTCTGAAACATTTATTCCCCTCCTCCAGTTATCTGATTCACCAAGAATTGTAAATGTTTCTTCCTCCCTGGGAAAGTTAAAGGTAAAAGTTTTTTGCTATCATTTTTTCCAAGCAAGACTTAAATCACTTGACAGCTATTAAGTTCATTTCATGATTCTATTTCAGAATGTATCAAATGAATGGGCAAAAACAATCTTAAGTGATGCTGAAAACCTTACAGAAGAGAGAGTGGGTGAAGTGTTGAACAACTATCTGACAGATTTTAAAGAGGGATCACTAGAAGCTGGAGGATGGCGAGATTCTACGATTGCCTATATACTCTCCAAAGCTGCCCTGAATGCCTATACGAGGATTTTGGCTAAGAAACACCCCAGTTTCTGCATTAATTGTGTTTGCCCTGGCCATGTCAAAACTGATATAAACTATAATACTGGAGTCTTGACTGTTGAGGAAGGTGCTCAAGGTCCTGTGAGATTGGCATTGCTGCCAAATGGTGCCCCTTCTGGTCTCTTCTTCTATCGATTGGAAGAATCAGAATTCTGATCAGATTGTGGGAAAGTTTATGCTATTTCCTCTGTAGTGCTTTATGATTGTCTTAGAAGCTCAAACAAGTAAAAGCATATGAGAAAAAATGTTTAAATATAAACGTTGTTTGCAAGTAATGAATACAAAGTTTGTGATTACCAATGACCTATTGATTCGAGTGGAAAGAGCTCAGTTCTTTGTAAGTAAGGTCTCAAGTTTGAGTCTTCTGAATGAAGAAACAGGTACTGAGAGAGCTTCCTTCTTATGAGGTCTGACACGACTTAATTTCGAATTAATTAGAGTTCAATGTAACTTTTGGATACCGAGAGATTAGTACCAAAAAAAAAAAAGTTTGAAATTTATGGTATTTTGCTTCCTCGCGAATTATTTTATAACTCATTCACCTGAACATGCTTTGATTGCCCTCATTATGAGACGCAGCATATATCTGAGAGAGCTTCCTCTTTATGAGGTCTGACACGACTTGATTTCGAATTAATTAGAGTTCAATGTAACTTTTGGATACCGAGAGATTAATACCAAAAAAAAAAAAAAAAGTCTGAGATTTATGGTATTTTGCTTCCTTGCGAATTATGTTATAACTCATTCATCCGAACATGCTTTGATTGCCCTCATTATGAGACGCAGCATATGTCTTGTCGCATGCATAGAATCAATGAAGCCAAGCAGCTTACTTTATGCTAATTTGATTCATCTACGCAATATTTGGCAGAAGCTAAGCTGAAACTCAAAGCTTCTCCTCCTATTTCTCATTGATTTCATGCCTAAAACCATCTGAAACACCTGCTTGTATTTGTTGTTTAACATCCTCTCTAAATTTTGATTTTTCTTGAGGATATTTCTATTTGAACTATGCTGATTTTTGCATTTTCACGCTGTAATACTAATTAAAACAAATTCTTGATATGCAATTTTTTCTCCTCACAACTTAAAAAAAAAAAAAAAAATTCCCCAACTTTCCCAATGTGGGGATTTACTTGACATCTTTTCACTAACTTTCCTAAATATTAACTTTTTACAAAATATATAAAAAGGTTACAACTCAAATAGGGAAAAGTGTTGTGTAATCTGGATTATATCAAACTACACAACACTAATCATTAGATGGGAGTTGGACTTTTGATATTGGTGGCCTTTCCTCATTTAATAGTTTCTATTTTACAATCTAGTGTAGTAAACTATAAAACAAGATTCTCATTCAAATAATACTTAAACAAAATTTTAATACAGAATTCATTGTCTTCTTTTAAAGTACTTTCTAACTACTTTTTCAATAAAAATTTTCTTACCTTCAAGCCAAAAAAGCCCCTACATGTATAACATCTTGATACTGTTAGAGTTTTGGACGAGAGTTGGAGGAGAGCGGAACTTAGAGTATGAATTTGACGTAGTCATGGAAGGGGTTTGGTTATTGCCATCATGAAAAATGTTAAGACTACTAATTTTTTAATTTTTTTCTTAAAATGTGTATGAAAATATCAGTTTGTTTACTGATTTTAATTTGTTAACTAATAAACATAAACTATTCCATCAGTTATTAATTAATAGTTACTGTCATTAGCTATTTTTATCAACTAAATTAAACAAAATCAATATTTTTGAAGACAATATATTACCATTTTTGGTGCCTTAACATTCTAGGTGGTGGCCATAACCCTGCCCTTCAAAGTGCAGACATTCACCCAATCGGGAAGAGGAGAGGAGAGGACGAGAAGTTGTTCTCCAACTCTCACATTTCCATTAACATCTCTGTGCATTTATAGCAAAAACTTTCAACATAAAATTAGTATTCTTTACCTACTTTCCATGCTTTATGACATGTTTTCTACAAAATCTAATCTAAAGTTTAAATCAAAGATTGTAATACATAAACCGACATAAAAGTGCATTGAAAAACTATCACATTGATACACTTTTGTTGACTAATTACAGCCTCCATTTACATTTCATTTGTATTCACATTTGCATTTGCATTTTATTTCATTTTCTTCCATAATGCAAAACTTTGTTTGCTGCACTTTTCTGTCCATTAATGCAGCTTTGTTGCTGCACAATTTTTCTCCATCAAGCAGCGTTTTTGTTGTCGAACTATTTTGTGCCATAAATTGAGCTTGCTTGCTGCATTATTTTGCTGTCTTGTTGCACCCAAAAACGTATGAATTGGGGTAGAGCTTTCAAGGATTCAAGTCCTTGGTATTTGTCTACATGGGTTTCCGTTGTTTACTAGGTGTTTCGTGGAAGTCAAAAATTAGTGCAAGGGAGAAAAAGGACGAAAATATAAGGTTCTTTGGAGTTACCACTCTTTTCAAAATAGGTTTTTAATAACATAATTTTAATGATAATAAAATATTAGAAAGCTACTGGCATAACTCTTCACAAAATAAACAACTATAGAAGACTATGTTGAAGAATTTTTAAAATAGTTCCATGATGTGGATAACTTTGGAAGGTAAGGAAACATGTGAGTAGAATTCAAATCAAACCAAATAACCTTTGAAAGAGTTTCCAACGGATAAGTTTTCAATATATAAACTTACAAAATTCAAAAATTTCAATCAATAAATTGAAAAAGAGCATCTGTTCCTAATGAATATTGTGCCCCTATAAAACAGAGTTATTTCATCATCCTCTTCATCTCTTGAACATAAAAACAAATCTCTATTATTATCTAAATAAACCAACCCCCTTTTGTATTGTGATTGCTATAGAAATCCCTATACAAAAATTATTGTTTTGTCACTTTTCAAAGGACAATTCAATGGTTGATCTTGCCAGTGCAAAGGCAAGATCAACAAGGTGTGCTTCATTGTATCCTACTAGCATTTTGAATTACTCCCTTTTGCATACCAAATCTAGTGGAGATGAAATTAGCTTAAAATAAAGTGGCATTTGTAACATACTTTGAAGCCTTTTATTTTATTTTATTTTTTTTTTTTGTAGATTTTCTACCGTATTTCTCGAACGATCTTTAGGTTAATTTTTCTGCAATCATGGCTGCAACTTTGCATGAGATGGCTACTGATTTCCAAAAGGTAGATCACTTTGATGGGGGTGATTTTATTCGAAGGCAATACAAGATGCACATCCTTCTCACAACTCTCAATATCATCTATGTTCTCATTGATGCTCGACCAAAGGAAAATGAGAATGAAACTTTGTAAGAAAAAAGGAAAACGTGGGAGAATGATGATTACGTTTGTAGGGGTTGCATCTTAAATGGTATGTCTAATTTCCTTTTTGATACCTATGTTCATGAGTCTACTGCAAAAGACTTGTGGGATAAGTTAGAAGGAAGATATATGAATGAAGATTCAACCAGTAAAAAGTTTTTGGTGAGAAGATGGAATAATTACAAAATGATTGATAACAAATCAGTCATGGAGCAATTTAAAGAAATTGAAAAGTTGCTAAATAGTTTCAAGCAATATGATATAAAGATCGAAGAATCCATAGTTGTGTCTTCAATAATTGAGAAACTTCCTCATGCATGGAAAGACTTTAAGAGAACATTGAAAAATAAAAAGGAAGATATTTCACTTGAAGATCTTGCTAACTATTTGAGACTTGAAGAGCAATACAGAGCAGAAAATGAAAAGAAGTAGAAAGAGCAAGTCTTGAATGTGCATATATTGGAGGAAGGAACTTCAAGCAAGCCCAAAAAGTCTTTCAAGAAGAAGGAATACTCTATCAAGCAAAACCAAAAATTTAAGAAGTAAAAGGGTTCATGTTTCCATTGTGGAAAACTGGACACTTTAAAAAAAAGTGTTATTTTCTGAAGAAGAAAAGGCATGCACCAACATCATCAAATGAAAAATTTATTGCTATGATTTTTGAAATTAATCTCATTGGATATGACGTTGCTTGGTGGGTAGATTTTGGTGCTACAGAGCATGTTTGTAAGGACAAAGGTCTATTCAAGACTTTTAAACTAGAAATTGAAGGAAGTGTGCTATATGTGGGAAATTTTGCAGTAGTACAAGTGAAAGACAAAGGAACCATGGGCCTAAAGTTCACTTCTAGAAAAGTTCTTACTCTCATTGATCTGCACTATGTGTTGGATATTAGGAAAAATCTAGTTTCAGCAAGTTTGTTGAACAAATTTGGTTTTAAACTTGTATTTGAGGTAGACAAATTTAAGTTGTCCAAAGGTGGAGTTTTTGTAAGAAAAGGCTATGCTTGTAAGGGCATGTTCAAGATGAACATTAATAATAATAATAATAATAATGTTTCTGCTTATATTCTTGACTCATTTAACTTATGGCATTGTAGATTAAGACATGTTAATTTTAGGAAGATGCATGAGATGTCCAAATTAGAATTAATTCCTATCTTGTCTAAAAATGAAGCACAGTGCTAGACATGTATGCTTACTAAGATTACTAGAATTCCTCTTCCTAAGATTGAAAGAGTTTTTAAATTGCTTGAACTTGTGCATAGTGATGTTTGTGACATGCATGGTAGTCCTGCTATTGGTGGCAAGAAATATTATGTTATTTTTGTTGATAATTATTCAAAATTTTATTATATTTACTTGTTAAATACAAAAGACGAATCAATGGAAAAATTCAACGTTTATAAAGCAGAAGTGGAATTGCAAAGTAAGACATTTGTCAAATGTCTAAGAATTGATAGAGGTGGAGAATATTATGATCCATCTTACTTTGAAACCACTAGAAAAATCCATGAAATAACAGCTCCATCCACACCACAACAAAATGGTGTGATAGAACGTAAGAATGAAGTTCTAATCAAAATGGTGGATTCCATGTTATCAAATTTTGGGTTCAGTCAAGGTTTTTGGGATGAGACATTGCTAATAGCATGCCATATATTGAATAAGGTGCCTACTAGAAAGGGTTAAGTTATACCATATGAACTTTGCAAGAAAAGAAAACCAAACCTTAACTATTTAAGAGTTTGGGGTTGTAGAGCAATTGTAAGGGTACCTGAACCCAAAAGGAAAAAGTTAGGTGAAAGAGGAATTGAATGTATAATTTTGGGGTATGCAGAAAATAGTAAGTCATGCCGATTTATGGTCATTGAATCAAATGATGCGATTAGTGTTAATACCACAACTGAATCAAGAAATGCTATCTTTGAAGAGAGTAGATTTAATTCAATTCTTAGACCTAAA